TATATATATATATATATATATATGTGTGTGTGTGTGTGTGTGTGTGCATAATGAGGATAATGAAAAAACAAACAATTCAATCACCGCTGGGATATCCCACTGGACCTTCGTTAGATGTTAAAATGTAGAAAGGAGCCATTTTTACCGGAACGTGCTTACTTTGCCCCCTAAAGAAGCGGATTCCTGCCTTGGAGATTACAAAGGAATGACCTACCCTTATCGTGCAGCACAACTAAATAACGGATGGAAGCACCAAGATATTTTATTTTTCAGGTTTTCGGGAAAGGCCGCTTATTGTTCCTGTTATTCTCATTATTGTTATAGCCAAATGCCCCCCTCCTGCCAAGCCAATTTGATTTAACTTCTGCAAAAGGGGGCACCTCGCTCTGAAAAACGCCTTTCAATAGTCCTCGGACGTCGCAAGAAAAACGTAGGTCTATAGACGGAAGAGCTGCCGTCTGTTCAAATATTATCTTAATAAATGCACGCGTGTTGAAATGTTATAAAAACCTGTAGAGGCCTGTGTAAACGTCGTAAATGTACACTCGTACAGTGTTTGGTGGCCACCAATTAGGGATAAAGCCACGATCGTTTTTCAGGATAAATGGTGTGAGATGTCCTGAATGTGGACACTCGGCACTGCGCCCCGCCGCCTCGCATTGCGCAGACCGCGTACGCGGCGCCCAAGAACCTATAGGCAAAGTTTTGTGTCAATAAGTTGTGTGGACAAATTACGATGAATAAAATACGTTTCAAGCGTACATCACCGCTTTCATGTATAAAAGGAAAAATGTTTTAAAACAAAGAATAAAGTATTCTAGCTTACAACAGCATATACTTTAGTGAGGACAGACCATACATTCCATTTCAATTACGTTAAGCTGACCAATATGTTTGTTTATATATACGTACGTTAACAGTCAGTTTAAGTTATTGACAGTAAATAGCAGGGTTTAAAGCATATTACAAAATATATGCTACCAAATATTTATTTTGCTGTCGGAATGTTTTGTTAGTCGACTTCTGACGTATTTTAACGAGATAACACCCACCTCACACTTCTTACCATAAATTCACATATAGTAAAATTAACAAGGACTTTTTAATTTATTTTGAATACCAAAACTTTAAAGTAGTACTTCTTTAATATTTTTATATGCATGGATAATCGCTTTCATCCTAATTATTGAGTAAATGTGTCTTGCACAGTTTAATGGGCCCCAAATAGGTGATACTCGTGTATTGCATTTTACTTAAATAACAAGCTGAAATGTAGATGGATAGATAGGCCTAAATAAATTGCATGTCGAGTTCACACTTTTCCTGAGTAGCCTGTTTCGCGAACCGTCAATTGCAAGCGTAACGTTCTAAGTGCACGATCACGCGGGCGGTGCGAGACGCTGTGCAGGTGACTAAAACCACTTCTTTTTTTATCGTTTGTCATGCAAAAGTTGCAAGTCCCGCGTGCCCACGCTTCAGTTGCAGACGTCGTGCACTCCGTAGATATGTGTCCCTCTAACCTCCACACCAACGTGTCCTTCGTGACACACTTCGACACCCAAAGCCTCAAAAATAATAATAAAAAAATGCCCGAAAGCAACAAAGCCGTCTGTACAGCGTAAATACAATGGCATGATTTTATTCTTATTTTATTTTATTTACAAAAAATTGATAGCAAGGATAAAATCCAGTGGCACAAACATGAAGCATATTTGCGTGCAGGGACTTTCAGTGTTCATAGGCGAGTGCGTATGAGCTTAACTGGATTATTTGCTTGAGTATTTATATGATATTAAGTACAAATGTATTTATTTCAACGTAGTAACTAGTCCTAATATAAATACAGAAAAAAATGTAAAATTCGTTTACAAATGTATTACATCCACGACGTGTTATGTTCATTTTTAATAATAAAGTCAAAACTGAAATAATAATCGCCAGATATGTTGGATTCGAGACCATAAATGCCAACAACGCCTTTATAATATGAACAGAAATGCGTTAAAGTTAATTTCATTGGCCTCATATCCGTAGTTGCGTTCAAATAGGCCTATTTTTATATATATAAAAAAATAATAATTTAAAACATACGTTTTGAAAACTTTTAGCTTTTAATATTTTTTGAAGCACGAAACTTTGGTCTGCTAAACATATTTGACGATGCAGCTGTTTTATTTGCCAGATCCTTGAATTTTAAAAAGGAGAGCGCACAAAGCAAATACCGAGAAAGCATGTGCTGTTAATTTTGTTACCCCCAGAGGAAATAAACCGCCGTTTTGCCGTCGAGAATTAGAAAAGGG